CTTCCGTTTGATTTTTTGGAAGAGTTTGTTAAGGATTAGAGTTAATTCTTTAAACATTTGATAAAATTGACCAGTGAAGCCCTCTAGGCCTGGACTTTGTAGATTTTTTGCTCACATAATTTGATCTTTTGTTACATTAGATTTTTTATTTCTTCTTGAGTCAGTTTTGGTAGTTTGTGTTTTTTCTAGATCCATTTCATCTAGGTTACCTAATATGTTGACATTTAAATGTTCAAATCATTCTTAATAATCATTTTTCTTCATTTTGTTTGTTGGAGGTGGGTTCAAGACCCAGGCTGGTCTTGAATTCGTGGGCTCAAGCAATCTTCCTGCCTCAGCCCCCTGAGTAGCTGGGACTACAGGTTCATGAAAACAATTTTATATCTTATTAAGAACTATAAGAGGGGAGTTTGAAGTTTTCAGACCCAAATGATAAATAAATAAGGTGATGGAAGTGCTAAYTACTCCGATTTGACCACCACCTTAGTATAGTATTGAACTATCAAATAGTACCCCACAAATACGTACAATTATTATGTGCCCATGAAAAAGAAAAACGTTATGTGTTAGAAAGTTAATTCCCAGTGTAATAGTGGCAGAAGGTGGATTAATACAGGGTGATGGGATACGAGGGTGCCACTCTCCTGCATGGATTAATGCCATCATTGCAGGAGTGGGCTAGTTATTGTGAAAGTGAATTGTTATAAAAGTGGGTTCTGTCCTCTCTTGTCTCTCTTTCACACTGGCTCTTGCCAGTGATGACACAGTAGGAAGGCACTCAGCAGATGCAGCCCCTCGTCCTAGGAATTTCCAGACTGTAGAATGGAGAGCCAAGGAAACTTGTTGTTTGTCAATTTCCGAGCGCAGAATGGCACAACAGGGACTAAGGCGGGGGGTATTTCTGGGGTCCTCCAAGCTCTGTATGCTATTTGCAGGGAAAAAAGATACAGTAAAGCTGAAGTAAATATACTCTAATGTACAGTAAATGCTCTAAGACTGTGCAGGGGACATGTGCTTTGGTCAGCTGTCCCCAGCAGAGAACGTGGCCATGTAAGATACTACTCAGTGTTTGTATTCAATTTTTTTTTTTTGCAGTGTTAGGAATTAAATCCAGGGCCTTGCATATACTAAGAAGACAGGGCTTTACCCCTGAGTGACATTCCCAGTYCTCCCTTGAATTTGAAAGCTGTCCTATGATGCCAGTTTGTGTTATGTGAATTTGAGGAAAGATTCTCTAAATTGTATTAGCCGGAGTTGGAGATCAAAAAGAAGTGGATCCCATCATCTAAGCCTTTGAGTGATGCTACAGTGAGGCCTAGTTTAATACCAACAAGAGATTAATGAGTTCATCTAAAAATATATGTGCCAAATATCATTTTATAAACTTAGGTGATGAAGTGCAGAATGGAAGAAAGGAACTTGATATAATAATTACCTGCTGTTTCCTTCAGTCTTGAAGAAATGAATTCTGGAAATAATCTCTGTTTGATGATTCAGGGTAGCTTCTGACCTGCCCTTATACAGAAACAACTTTATTTAAATTTTTAAAAATTTTAATAATAGTATATATCAATATGGTATAATATTATGTTTTAAAACATATACACAAGGTGTAATGATCAAATCAGGATAATTAGCATATTTATTACCCCAAATTATCCTTTTTTTTGAGATAAGAACATAGAAAAATCCACTCTAGGGGCTGGGGTTGTGGCTCAGAGGTAGAGCGCTCGCTTAGTATTCGTGAGGCACTGGGTTCAATCCTCAGCACCACATAAATATAAAATAAAGATATTGTGTTCACCTATAACTAAAAKATATTTAAAAAATAAAAAGAAAAATCCACTCTACTTTGGAATATGTAATACATCATTGTTAACTATAGTCTCACTCTGAGATATGATAGAACACCAGAACTTATTTTTCCCTTGTGACAATGACTTTATACCAGTTGAACAACCTCTCTTCTGCTATTCTTCCCCTTCCTATTCTGGTCTGTAGTAACCAGTATTGTACTCTCTACTTCTTTGATATCTACTTTTTAAGTTTCCATATATGAGTAAGATCAGGAGTTTTSTTTCTCTATGTATGGCTTATTTCACTTAACATAATGTTTTCAGGTTTATCCATGTTGTCGTGAATTATAGGATTTCATTTGTTTTTATAGGTGAATGATATTCTATTGCATATAGGTACCACATTTTCTTTATCCATTCACCTGTTGATGACACCTATGCTGATTCCTTATCTTGGCTATTGTGAATAGTGTATCAATAAACATCAGGAGTGACTAGGGAAGAATGGAGGAMATTTGGATTTAGCAGAAGGTAGTGAGGGGGAAGGAAGGGTATAGGGGTGGGAAAGACAGTGAAATGAGATGGACATTATTATCCTATGTACATGTATGATTGCATGAATGGTGTGACTTTGCATAGTATACAACCAGAGAAATGAGAAGTTGTGCTCCATTTGTGCACAATGAGTTGAAATGCATTCTGCTCTCATGTATAATTAGAATAGAAAAATTAAAAAAAATAAACATGGGTGTGTACATGACATCCTGATAAGTCATTTCCTTTGGAGATATACCCAGTAGTGGGATTGCTGGATCATATGGTAGTTTCATTTAAWTTTTTTTKGTTTTTTTTAAAAGAACATTTAATTGACAGGTAAAAATTGTATGTATATATTTAGGAGTATCATATGATGTTTTGATACATGTACATATTGAGACACAATTCAACCCATGACATGTCACTACTGCCAATGACTACTTTCATTCTCTAGGCTGAAGCATAGACAAACTTTCTAATGCTTCTTCCTCCAGTTACTTATCCAGTAATATTCTCAGTGAGATAGTAGGTGGCAACACAGAAAGGTCTAGTTCCATTTTTATTTGGCCTGAGAAGGTAAGATCATCTTGGTCTTGTAATAATTTCTTATGTTAACATAGCTCATATGTTTATAAAATGATGTAGTTTTAGAAAGTATTGTGCTCATTAAATGGAACCTAATAATCTCTCACACAGAGCTGAAGAAACTGCCTTTCAGAGGGCAGGTGATTTGCACAAAATCACACAGCTATCAAGTCCACAGAATTGTTCACAATACACTCATCCAGTACTTCTTCCACTTCAGAAAGTATACCCAAGGTCCATATGACTAAACCATGATGCTGCTAYTGCATTGAAAAAAGAAACATGATGTTTCATAGGTTGCATGTGTCTGAGCCTCACTGATTCTGTATCTTTTCTGTCCAAGTATAAGTTACCACAGGGGGGTGCTGTCCCAATGACTTGGATCTAATGTGTCTAAACCCTTTCATATTTCAGGTCTGCACAAGTGTTCTCCAATCATCAGGTTCCTCCTACATACTTCTTTTCTCCTTCATCTGATCCCAAGGAGGAGCTGGTTATTTATGTTATGCCTTGTGGTATCTTCTCTGTCAAATGTTAGTAGAGATCATCAGCACTCAGTGATTTTTTTTTTTTCATGAGAAAATGGAAACTTTTGTCATTCAAAATGCTTTGGAGAATTTTAGTCCTGAAAGAGACACCTTCCAAATATTTCCTTATGACTTTTTCATTCCTATATTATATGAGCAAATAACTCATATATCATGCCACTATTTAAAATTTTTCACATTAATGTGAAATCTAACATCTTTATGACAGCATTTAGTTGATTCAACTAACATTATGGTATCTTTTGCCTATGGATCTTTTCATAAAAGGCTTTTAAAAAATATATATTTTTAGTTTTAGGTGGACACAATATCTTTTATTTTATTTTTATGTGGTGCTACCATTGAGCCACATCCCATCCCCAAAAGGCTTCTTTTTAAAAGTAAATGTATGTATTACTGTTAATGAGTTTATACTATGTTTATTTCGTTTTATTTTATTTCTTTATCTTTTTTTGAGATGGGGTGTCACTATGTTGCCCAACCTGGTCTTGAACTTGGGATCCTCCTGCCTCAGCCTCCCAAGTAGCTGGGATTGCAGGCATGTGTCACAGGCCTGGCTTTACTGTAACAATATGTTTTTTCAAGTCATATATGTAATTTTATGCAAGTGATTTCTACTGGCCATGGTACTTTGCATGTGGTTCAGATGGAAAGAAAGAGAAAGTGAAGGAACTATAATTTATTGCTGAGTGTGACTCTGAAATAGATACTCTAGTCCCTGTTTTCTCAATGATGAAACTGAGGCTCAGAGGAGTGAGTATCCCAACGTCACAAGCTGGGACAGCTGAGATTTGGATTTAGGTCTTTTAGACTCTAAACCTGTTTTTTCTTCATTGTCACCTGCATTAAGTGAGGTGATGATTTGGTGGGAAGTGACTTTACACTAGATGTCCCACCATCGCTGGTCTGTTACAGACTAGTGAAGGGTCTGCTTCTCTGTTAAAGATTTGTTAAATGGGGTCTGAGATGTTAGACATGGATTTGGTGGGATCACACATGGACACCAGGTGTCAGAGGTTGGAGAGTCTGGTTCAAACTGCCTCATCTGCTCTTCTTTGGAATGAGATTGGGATTCCCTGGCTCATCTTGGTTGCAKAGAGATCAAGGGAGCATTTCAGGGCATAGAGTACCAGCTGTATGAGGGTTATGCTCAGAGCCACGAGTATCTGTGTGTCCCAGAGCCAGACAACTACAGTAGATGATCTCTCTCTGGGATTGAGAATAAGGAAATTTGTAGAATCTATCCTCTTTATGTTGGCTTTATTTAGACCAACTCTCTAAGGGGTTAGACTTCAGAAAAGAACCAAAAATAATTTGGCAGGTTTTACTCTCTAATCTTGGGGAGTCAGTTGAACTTTGAGCGGAAGCCCCACCCTGAGCAGAGGCTGCCCTGCGACTGGCTGCTCTCCCCATGAGGAAGTGCTGGTAGTGGGCCCTGGCAGCTGCTGCTTTGCTTCTCCCCTGGTTCCTATTGTAGTACAGGCTCAGAGTCAGCAAAGCAGCCTCCTCCTGAACCCTGGTTTACACCTAGAATATGAGGCAGGTGATAAGAGCGACTGTGTTCCTGATCCTGGGTGAGTTATTTTTGGATGAAGAGGAATCAGAATCTGGGCCTGAGGATTCTAGATAGGGAGGGATTCGCACCCTGGTCTGCTACCAATTGCTCTTCATTCAGGGGAGAGTTTTGGGATTCTATTTTTCTCCTAAACCTTTGTGTGAGGGGTATATTAGGGCAGTAAAGATGTTCTGGGTTACTGATCCTTAGGGTCTATCCTTGAAAGGGAGAAAGCAGACCTACCAGGAATWAATGCAAAGAACATTTTTGTCCTGAAACATAAATGAGATGTAAAGTGTATGTGTATGTGCATAGAGAAGCAGGGTGTGGGGTGGGGTGGATTCAGCTATGAGAGAGAATTTTGGGGGAGCTGAGTGGGGCCTTCTCATTTAACTTGTCCCGGGATGGAAGTCAGGACTGTGTTCACTCCCACAGGCACTTTAAGCCTTGCRAAGACCACCCAGCGCATCTCCATGGACGCCTACGAAGGACAGGAAGTGAACATATCCTGTAACCACACCAACATTGCCACAAATGAGTACATCTTCTGGTACCGACAGGTCCCCCACCAGGGACCACACTTTGTCATTCAAGGATATAAGACGAACGTGGCAAATGAAGTGGCATCTCTRTTTATCCCTGTTGACAGAAAGTCCAGCACCCTGAGCCTGCACCGGGTTACCCTGAGAGACAKCGCTGTGTACTACTGCACTGTGGGTGGCACAGTGAGACAGCTGGATGTGCACCTGTGCAGCATCTCTGTGGGAGAGAGTCRCAGCCTAGGGAGAAGCCCAGAAGCAGGGTTTTCTAAAATTTCACTTTATTTTATTTTTTTCATTTTCAGAAGGTGTTAGCAAATTTATGTATTCTTATTATATTTWAAAAATTTTCTCATTAAAAATATAGGCATTTCCTTTATGTGGCCTAAAATTAAAAAAAGTATAAAAGGGCATACGATGCATTGTCTTTATCCCACCATTGYCCCTGACCATTCAGTTATCTGAAATGATGTAGCTTACAGTATTGCTGCTTAGCTCACTGGTGCTCCTCAGTTTTTGTGTATAGATGCCTACACACATATGTGTGGCTTTGCACACACATGCACAAACTTTATGCACACTACACATACTTTAYATCCATGCTATATGCAGTGTGGACAATATGTTTCCCAACTTTTGAGAAATTCAGCCTGTCAGTTTATTATTTATTTTTCCACAAATTTTGAACATTTCTATTCATGTTCAAGTATCTACAAACTGGCTTCCATGTGTCCTTTGAGTTTAAATCTCTCTCTCTCTCTCTCTCTCTCTCTCTCTCTCTCTCCTGTCTTTCTCTTTTCTTTGTTCTCACTGCTGTTTTGTGGGTGTGTAAGGGAGAACAGAGATGATGGTAGAGGAGGGAATGGGGAGAGCATCTTGTTTCTGATTGGCATTATAGACTATTTTTGCAACACCTGAATCAGAAACAGAGTTGGCGACATTATTACTTCTCAGAGTTGACTCTGTTGCTAGACTCTTGCTAGTGCTTCTGGAGTGGCTTTGTGAGAACCATGAGTTTCTTTTTCTTTATCTTAAAATTTTTTAAATGGGATGTTGTCTATGATTTTTATGACAGGGACTAGTTGGGTGCAGTGGTGCAGCCTGTAACCCCAATAATTCAGAAGGTTGAGGCAGGAGGATTGCARGTTCAAAGTTAACTTCAATAGCCTAGCAAGGCCCTGAGCAACTTACAGAGACCCTGTCTCAAAATAAAAAAAATAAAAAGAACTGGGGATGTGGCTCAGTGGTTAAGGACCCCTGGATTCAATGTCTGGTATCACTCTACCCCCCAACTCCCCACATAGGGTGAGACCACTGAATAGGAGAGTATTTGTTTTCTGGCTCTACTTAAAGTTTGGTGAGGGAGTGGACCTGTGTGGGTGTGGGGGGCAACTTTAGAGTGTCAGCTCCTACAAACCCATCTCCTTTGGTTGATATCTTTCTAGACAGGGGTTAGGGGCTTATACTAAGTGCAACAATATCCTATTTGCCAAAGAAGCTAGCTCTTCTCCCCAGTGCTCTTAAGAAGACCAGTATCCAGTATATCCAGTACTTCTTGGATTCAGACATGTGTGTGTGTGTATAAATATATATTTATATATATTTATATATATTGAATTGAACCCAGGACTTTGTGCATGCAAGGCAAGCACTCTACCAACTGAGCTATATCCCCAGTCCTAACATGATATTTTGGAAAAAGCCTAGTGTCTCTGCTTCTCTGCTTCCCATTTTCTCAGTGGGGAAAATGAAGGAAGAGTCAAAGTTCTTTAGAAAAATACCCCTCTGCACACCACAGATTCAAAGGCTGAAGATTCAGACACCTGCATTTTTTTAAAAAATAATTTTTATTTTTAAAAAATAAATTGTACATTATAGGAAAAATAAAAACACAAGCAAAGAACAAAGTCATCCAGTCACAAGAAGCTTAGTTGGACGTGTCCCTCTAGGTTGTGTGCATATATACACAATATCCCATTTTGTGTGATTGAGATTGTGGTGTGTTTCATGCTTTTCCACACATCATGAATATTCACCAATTCAAAAATCCCAAAGTTACATGAGTATTTTTTGATAACCAAGAATACACTACACCAACTCAATCTGTTATTCAGAAATGGCAACAGGCCTCTCAATAGACATATTGGCAGAGTTACAAGTAAAACAATTCATTCCCTTAATGCTCAATTTAAAATGAAACAACAACAGAATACACCAAGCTTGTTTCATTACCAGATTTCTACTACTAAAATATTAGCAAGAATGAATGTTCCCATGAATTAAAATATTCCTATAGTACAGCCAGAAGATGCACACACACCAGTGGCTCACATCAAAATGTAAATCTTTGAGCACTTGCTCCCATCTTTCCCTGTGTTTCCCTGTGCYCCTCGGCTGCCAGCCTAATGAACAAGTCCTGATACACAATGCCTAGAGTGATAAAGCAATTCCATGTCCAAGATGCGTCTTTTCTACCAATTATAACGAAAAGATATTTACAAGTTGGCTAATTCACTAGCACTACTTTTTATGATTCACTGTCACCTCAGGCATCTAGAAAGCTTAGATGTCAGACACCTGCATTTTTATGGCAAGCTCAGAGTGATCCCATGTCCCTGGACAACCTATTCCCAAACCAGTGGAATTGCTGTCATGAGAATTGAGCGGGTGGGGTTGAGGGGGTTCTCTGTGATGTTTTCATCTAATTATGAAATAAACATTCATATCTGGGAGCCGTGGGATGATTTAAAAAAGGATTATTTAAGTTATTCTGTGGACAACTGGTCTTGGGTGGATGATGCTGTGGTTGTAGTATAGAGGTGAAAGAACTCTGTCAGGGAGCTGGGGAGCTGGGGTTAAGGCCCAGTTCCTTTCAAGGAGTCACTCACTGTGAAGAAACAGCACAGATTTTGTTTTTAGATTTGTATTTATCAATACGAGTGTATGTTAATCACTTTGGAAGAAAGAACTTAGTGGCAATAAGTATTGTGGAAAGGGCAAAGAGATGCCCTTTCRTAGTAGAAAGCTCAAATTCTTCTTGTATTTCATTCTTGCTCCGTGCTCAGGGCAGCAGAACAGACAAGAAATATAGCCAGCTTTGGAGCAGGCATTTGTGACTTTGAATCTGAGATTTWCTTCCTCTATAAAATGGGGATCGTAAAACTGTCTTCCAGCACTAATAAAAGTTAAAATAATATCACACCAAAGGTTCTGCACTTAATTAGTATTCATCAGATGAAGGTGATATATAGCCTACATTATAATATCTACATAATTAAGTCATTAACCTAATCTGCTAACCCTCTATCACTGTTTGGAGGATGACATAAAGTGTTGTACATTCAGACCTCTCTTAAACTGAATAAACCTATGCAAATATAAGAACTGTTTTGGGAGATACAACTGTTGGTCTTGTTATCTATGATTAAAACCAATAAATTAATCAACCATTTCTCTGTAGAAAGATCATATAATATTTTCTTTCATTTTTTGGCCAAATGATCCCTAGGGTAAGGTCTTCAAGGTTCAATKGATAAATGATGGTGTTGTGGAAGTTCCCCCCAAAGTTCCTGTGTGAATGCAGGC